CAGATAAATTTAACAGTCCATGTTTATATTGAAGACAATGAGTTCACATTAAATTCCATTGAATGGTTACAGTATCAGAATCCTAGAGCAAAATTAGACTTCAACTTCCATCAATGTACTATTGCAGCTTCCTTAGCTAAGTTGTTACAAATGTACTCATAGTTAATTTTCTGTATCCAATTCACCACAGTCAATTTCACAAACTGACATATAAGCACTTGTAAAAGAATAACCACTTTGGTCATGAACTCTTTTGGTACACTACGAAATGCATGAGCAGCAGGAGAAAGAGAAAAGCTATCTGAAATCAAACTTACAATAGAGAAACACCGTATCACAATGAAGGAACTAAAATTCATACCAAGATATTATGTCATCACGTTTAGATCATGTACAATGAATGGCTCGTCATGTATGATATTAAATTGCAACTCCTAGACAGCAGCACCAGGTATAATCACACTTGTGTCTGCCAAATAACAATGAGTCTTCCTCATCACCTGAAATTGTTCCAACAAGTATCGTATGGTTAATAACAAGATCCAGCCAATCCCGAAATAATCCATTTGAATTGTTTAAGTGATCAAATTCAAAATATGCATCGATTGATCAATTTTGGAAAAAGCAGAAAATTATTTTTATTTTTTATTTTTTTGGAATCCAGCAATCAGCAGTAATATTAATCAAACTTTTCTATCATCCAAAAAACTTTTCTATCATCCAAAACAAATGTGCACACTGGGCATAATGAACCCTGATCTTATACGCTACACCTTTTATGTCTAATAAATTTCAAGCTTCAAGTGTAGAAAAGGAAATGCTGCACAGAGGAGACGAAGTAGCTTATTAAAAAATTTATGGCATCCACCATTTCAAAATTTACACTGCACACTTAAAAGGCATACTTGTGCACAAGTAGATAACTTTTACATTTTTCTATTGTAGCAACAGAAGTAGAACAGGGCCTTGGAACTCAAAATCACGCCTTGCAACATATATTGGGAAGTAGGGTTGCACATTGTTAGTCCAATCATGAAGATTATCAAGACCTGGGGGAGGACAAAACATAAAAACTTCAATTCTGGATGATGAGAACATCTACATGAAAATAAGAGCAAGAAGTAAAAATTAATGCATTGCCATAAAGAGTTGATGTATTTGTGTTCAAGACCTCCAATTGCATCAGCATGAGAATGAGTAAATTATAACTGCATCAACTGTTCTTATCCTGACAGAAATGCAGCCAGTTACAACAATGAAAATTCATGACAGTAGAAATACATACTGTAACAGAATGTGCGAAAGAACCCATTTAAAGATCCATCTGCCTATACTTTCACTACTTAGAGATATTGAACAACAAAAATTAAACCAAAGCATTCCATTGCTGACTAAACCATTCAAATGTATTTCAAATATGGAAGCACATACACAATCATTCACACTTGTTTATGTTATTTCAATACTCTACCACAGGCTTTATTTTTAAGTCATGCTTTTATGCTAGTTTAGACACCAAACAAAATGTCTTCATAGTAGCAATTGAAAACACAAGGATACTATCACATATGTACATTTTAGTAAAAGTTTAAAATAGGAACACTCAACAACATGACATTACTTTTTTTCCTGGGCCAAGAAAAATAATA